GCTCGACGTGAGGGGTTTCTGGATCGATGCACTAAAGATCAGCTTATGAAAACTGCTGAAGGGTATGAAATCGATTGAAGTGATCTTAGTGATAGACGGTGTAAAGAAAACGTAATGGCTACGGTTAAACTGCAGCTGTGCTGGTTGCTAAACAAGAGAGACCTGGTCAGCCACTGGCAGCACAGTCGCTTTCAGCTCCGCCAGGAAACTTAACGTCTGAGCAGCAAGGGAAATTGCTTTTATTACAGTTGTCTCATGACAAACAGAAACAGAGGCTGGAACTGGAAAAGCTCGTAACATGTATGACTATGCAAGCTTTTAAAAATAATGAAGATTTTGTTGCAGTAGCAACTTTTCCTTCTAATGTGTGGATGTGTAAACTGACACGGAAACATCACCCACAAAAACTGAAGATATAATCATGCGTTAGGAAGAGTGACAGCAGTAAATGTGATTATTAGAGAAGCAGTAAATGTGATTATTGTTGATGATGTAATGTTTGGTATTGCAACTGGACACTGAAAAACAATCAATATTAAATTATTCCAGTGGAGTGCAGGACCCCCATACAGGGCCACAAGAGACACAGGAGAGGAAATCAGAAACTAAATGCTTGTGCTACATCAAATTATGTGAATTTTGTCAGACTTGCCCCCCGTCCTTGCTTATTTTTTGTGAACTGCATAATAATTTTTACGTCTGAAAATTATCCATATAATACAAAATTACTCTTTGGTCTTTTAGATAATGGGGTCACAATCCAAAAAGATTGGGAACCGCTGCATTATTCCATATAATTAATCACAATTTTACAAGGTTAAAGTCACTAATCTCTGGATTTACACATTATTGTAACAAAAATGTGAAGAGTCCTCACAGCTTTACTATATGAAAGACTTAATGCGGCATGACATCCTCCCTGCAGATCTAACTCCATTTATTATCTGAAGTGATTTTGAGATGTTTTGTGAAAGTCCAAACATTGTAAAAAAAAAAAAAAAAAAAATTTACAGTCAAATACTATACGCAGTAAATCTGTCCACTCCTCACTCACTAACAGGGCTTTTCTTTGGCTGTGAGTCCTGAAAACACATCCCACTCTGTTTAACTGCAGCTGTTCATAAAGGGAGGTCCTGAGAGCTCCCTGGGACTATGAGGGTTTAGGAGGTCTGAAGAAAATCTGCTTAATTTGTTTCATTTCTGCTTTATTTTACTCTAAGTGCTAATACTGAGCACACGCTGGGAATGTTTGTATGTTTTTTTTCTCAGAGGTTTAAAGGATAGCTTCATCATTTTTCAAGTCTGTCCATACAGAAACATACAGTATATGTCCCTATATCAAGAGTGATGTTGCTACACATGTCACCTATAAGGGAATATATATATACACATACATACATACATACATACATAAACATAGATATTTGTATGGGCTAGACAAACATGTATGTATACAATATATGGAACTGTTCCAATTTGTAGTAGGTTCTATATATAAAATAGATTTATGTTTTTATTTTACTTACATGTATTTCATATATGGAAATTCAGTATATGTACCAGTGCCAGACTAAAACATACCTTTTCATGACAGTAGCAGCAGCAAATCTCTCTTAAATTCAGTCCTGTCTCATGATTTTGTCCTGAAAGTCTCTCTCCTGCATCTTGCTACAGTCTGCCTGGACATCTTCACCTTTCTCCTTCCTGGCTGAAGAAGTTTCAGGATTTCTTTCCTGAACTGGCAGTAAACATCAAATGTGCAGTATGAAGGGAAAATATCTTCGACATATTTACCACGAACGGACAATAACACACTCCAGTGACAATGCAGAATCCTGAATTTACCTGCCTTAGTGTTGTTAGCCTTGCCTGCTCATAGTCTGGACTGCAGGGGAGAAGCGGGAACTTCGGTCTTGGCAGCATTTAACTTCCTGAACATACATCACACTGAATGTTTGCAGCCGCACTGCTAACGGCTAACTAACTCTCGGTTCCCTCTCTCTCTCTCTCTCTCTCTACGTACAGTAACAACGCACTGGGCTATTCCTGAAAGTATCTGCACTACTTCTGTAACAATGTTCAGCCTCAAACAAACTTGCACAGAGATGAAAAATTTGTTTAATTTGCTCGTTTACTTGCTACTGCTGACTCTCCAGGCTTGTTGCGCAAGTTTAGGTTCCACGCGCCTGCGCATGCGTATAATGCCGCGATATCATAACTGATCTCAGAACAGTAGAAGCTACAACAGCTTGAAGTCGAGCTAGCTTTCAGAGACAATGCCACGCTGCTACCACAAGAGGCCAGTATATTATAGTGATGAATGCATATAGGCAACAGATCCTTCAGAGACAGAACGCTGTTGTGAGATCAGATGTAAGGAGAGATATCGCTTCCACTTCAGTATCGTTCTTATTGATGATTATTGATTATTGATGATTTTTAGCTTTAACTGGGCAAGCTCACCTTGCTTGCCCGGTACGCCGCTGATATGTAGCTACATATACCACATTAGCGTATGGGTGTCTTAAAGCAATAGTCAGAAGACCGCATGAACATTGAACAGGTTTTGCTTTCTATAATAATTCCTCCTGTTCACACTGGCCATTAAAAGAACCCCCCTAATGCGCTTCTAGTGTAGGCGATGAGGGACAAAATAGTCCTTGTTCTGTCCAAGGAAAATATTTGAAAGTTTATCTCAAGCCAATATGAAGCTTCAGCAGTCAGCGGTATCTTCTATAATTATACTTTTTTTTTTATAAAATTCTTCGAGTTTTCCAGGACAGTTTTACCTAGTTCAGCTGCAGTAAAAGGGAAGTAACACAAAGAGGGAGTTTTGTACTAAAAAGCAGATAGTGAGGATCTTTATAAAAGTATAAAAGGAGAAATAATTACATCAAGCAATACTTATTTTAATGTTCATATGGGCACTATGGTATTATTATTTTAAGACAGACTTGAAAAAGTGTGATCCTACCCGTACAGTTTGTCGCCATTTGAGACTCAATGGGACAAATGTTACACTTCGGCGATGTGTAAAAAGTTCTGTCAGTGCGGGTCACACATACAGAACAAATGAAAATCCTCTGTATTTACCCATGATTTATAGCTGGGTTCTCTGCAAACAGAAATAATCTGTCATTTTCTTCAGGAGGAAATAGGAGGAGGAAATAGGAAATATCAAGCTGATAAAACAATATTTAAGTACATTATATCAGCTGTTACAGAGGGCGTAGTGTGTCTCCACGAGCCCAGACACAACATTAGTGTTCAAAGGTTTGTTACACCCTGTTAACCACTAATCCAGAAATCTTGTACTTATTGAACATGTATAAATGCAGTGCGTGATCATGAGTCACTCAATGTACAACCAGCTAACTTAGTAAAACCTGCATTTATTCTGCAACAGAGGATCCACTGGCATCATGGAAAAGTGAAAACCAAACTATGCCTTAACTGGCTGGGATGAATTGTCCTTTGGCTGACTGGTGAATTGATTTGTGTGTGTGTGTGTGTGTGTGTGTGTGTGTGTGTGTGTGTGTGTGTGTGTGTGTGTGTGTGTGTGTGTGTGTGTGTGTGTGTGTGTGTGGTGTCCAGATCAGAATGATTCCTCACAGACAGCCTCAGATTTCAGGAGGCTAAATAATTTCTCTTGGCCTGCTGTGATGACTATCCCCTTTGGCTGGCAGATAAAATGCTTGATGGCCTATAGGTGGAGGGTGTGTGACTAAAGATGGATGCATGGAGAAATATAGGGCTCAGTGGTTGCAGCTGCATGCATCCACAGATGGCAGATTAATATGTGGTGGAGGAAGCATGACAAAACATGCTTCAAAGCGCACTGCACATCTTTCCCACTGATTGATTCAAAGCCTTTTGTGATTGGTCACGCTCCTTCATGTTCACTGAACATTTAGAGTTATTTGGTAAACTCCTCTAAATCAGGTGGGAGTGAGATGTGTGAGAATGGAGAGAAAACACTTAACCCGGCACACTTCCCCATGCTGACATGACACCAAAATACCCAATTAACATTTTGCAGCTGACTGTAACTCGGCCACATGAAAGGGATCTCCATTTACATACTGAATCAGAATGCATGCAAAAGGCTCCAGCAGTACACCAACATGTTGTGTTGTTGTCTGGGGACTTATTCCTCTACCCCCCAAAGACCTGAGTTATTTCATCTAAACTCACTTTTTTTTTCAAGACACGTCCCTTTCTCATCGGAGACAGACTCAGTGACATTTGAGCTCCAGGGAACAATAATTATCCTGTTTGGATAGTTGCATTATTTGCTAAATTGTTTCCAGGGTGGTCACAATTCACATCACACCACTAATCTATATTCTGTGACAATGTGGCTCAGGAAAAACTGCCAATAAGAGACCAGCCTGGAACAAGACTATAAATCAACTCTCTTAAAGGAAGAGTGCTGATCTTTTCTTTGTGTGCACTCCATCAGCACAGAACAAACCTTAAACTAAAGCAGAAGATCCAGACCCACATAACATTGACCTGCAAAAAGATGCTGGTATCTGTTTCCCATGTTTCAAACAACTGACCAAATGAAAGTTGGGTGCCAGGAGAGGTTACTTGGCTCCATGTTTGGATCAATACTAGAACAAATTGATTCTGTAAGCTAACAGTTAACTGGTGGTGTATAAAACTTAACCTGCAGTTTAAACAGGATACTTAACATAGCCAATAGATTTTGTAGAGCAGGTTGGTAAATTTTCCGCCAGAGGGATGGAGAGTGTGTGTGGGTTGGCTCTCAATGCTGATACTGGAGAGGTCAGCAGCCTTGAAAAGAGCTCGACAGTGTTAGAGAACTGTTGTAATGGTTACGTCCCCTGAAACTGAACAGTGGAGATGAATTTGAGTGCTTACAATCAGAGCTGAAATCTATTTTAACCCACAGAGGTGCAATTACCAGACATCGTGTGCGTAAAGCATGGAGTTACAGGCTACTGTAGGTATAAGGCTTGAAGTTGATGAGTTACCTGACACCGGGGTTTCGGGGACCCATTTGGAGCCCGGGTGCAGAGACTGAAACACTGTGCGCACCTCCTGGCAGTTTGGCACCTGTCCGCCGGGCAGGGGGAACAGCTGGAGAAAGGCGCACAGGAAGAGCGCATTGTGGGCTGACGAACCAACCATGGCAGAGGAGCAGCACTTAGCCGAACCGGACAAAGCAGAGCAACAGAAGAGCTGAGATTAACTTCAGCACATTAAAAGTTACAGGAGGATCCCGCGGTTGCGCTGAAGAGATGAAGCTGCAGCTCCAGGATCTGCTCGGCTCAGCATCCTTTCTTTTTTTGTCTCTCCTGAACCGTGCGTCCTGCTGGAAAGCTGCTCGGCTGCGCCTCTTGGTGAAGCTACACCGATGCTGAGAACTTAAGAGTCCCTCTTCACTTGCGATACTGAATCCTCAGCTAGCTGCACAGACGAACGAGCCCCGGATACATGCGCGCGCTCCTTCCAAAAGCGCGCGCCACGGCGTGAACCTGCGCGTATTACGAGATCTCCCCTCTCGTTTAGCGGTAGTGATGCGAGCTGATACATTGGTTCTGTGCGGCTGCAGAAGTGGCGATATAAGGAGCGGATTCATGTAGTGCGCCAGCTGTTGTCGTGATGGATGGATAGCACTGTATGTTATAGGATGCAATTAGGGCGCAGAAACGACAGTTCCCGAACAGAGGAGAGACATGTGGCCACGAGGTGCACATATATTATAATGAAAATGACATATGCGGAGTGTGTAAGCTAAAAAAATGCTTTTATTATTCGAAAGTGAACAGAAAACATGTGAAACAATGTGAAGAACTGCACAATACAAGCAAAATTGAACATAACCTGTCACATCTTATCTTTAATAATCCCATAAATCTCATTCAGTAACATTACTTGACGGCATCTCATGTAAAACTGATTATTTCTTCATCGTTTTCTCATCCTAAGTGGACAGTCACTTCACTTCCACTCAGCGCCAAAGAGACAATAAAGTCTAAATGGTGCCATCTAGTGTTCAGTTTCCATATCAGACACCACAGAGGCCAACATTTGTAACTCATCCTCTCTGCAGACTGGCAAAAACTTCATTAAGTCAGAGAAAAGCACATCTGTTTTGCAGCGCCTCTAAAACATCTCTACACTCATTAGCGCAACCTAATGAATGCGTAGCTGTTCACAACATCTGGCGGATTGCAGATGGATACTGTGCAATTTCTTTCAATGTGTCAAGTGTTGAAATTGCGGAGTCATCCACCCGAAAACAGCGAGACAAAGAGCAAAGTCAAAGAAACTTAATGTTAAGAGGCCTGTTGAGTCAAACATGACTGCAAACAGAGGAGGAAAAAAACAACAGCTGCTCTCATGTGCCTACGGTGAATGAGATTTTCACTCTTTCAAGTGTTCATCAAAGCTTGGAAGAAGAGAAAACAAAACCCATATATCTCTTCCTTTGGCTGCGTGTCTGAGAAACAGAGAGCTTTGCATGGATTTGCACAGCAGAGACTGGCAGAAGCTGAGAGCAAACCAACAAAACTCGCTGTAAACCCAGCAGACTTCCAGCTTCAAATACCAGAAACTCAGTCTGAGGCATGAGGGAATGTGACCAGCAATACCTGAAGTGCACAAACTGCAGTAGATGAGTGTGTACTACCTGCACTGTGAGCACTTTTGAACTGCAGAGTCAACAACATGTTCAGCTTAAAGAGTCAGAAAGTCATGAGTCATTAAAAGATACCTGACGGGGGACTTGTGACCGGCGCACAGACACACTGATGAATGTAAAGAAATGTCTTACAAGTCGACAGCAATTTATTCACCTTCCTGTTTATGCACTAAAACAAGATACTCAAATGTTGACTGCATCAGTGCACTCTCAGCTACACAGTGATGTCATACTGAAAAATAATGCTATATTAGTTTATCATGCACATAAAAAGCCTCCTGTATATCACCATACATTTGAGTTTTAGAAATTGGTCTATGCTTTAAATTTGCATAATTACATGTTCTTGAATGTTGTGCTGCTGAAACATGTAGCCTAATCAAATACTGCGTCAGAAAATTATCAATATGATCAATTATCAAGGAAAATACAGTGTGATTTTGCTGATCTTCTCTCTTTTTCATCACGGTGAACTGACTTTCTTTGTGTGTTTTGTTTCATTAGTCACAGAAAACAAGAAATACATCAATGTTACCTTGAGCTCTTGCACAGTCTAAGCAGCTGCATAATTGAGAAGGTAGTTGAAAGTTAATTGACTGAATTGAAAAAAAAACAGACTATGTAATAATGAAGTTAACATTTTGTTCTGTATGACAGCCGTGCGACCAGCGAAAATTTCTTTCAATCGTTTCTTTAAATTCAGGCTGCAACATTTAAAGTGTGTTATTAGTGTTGTTAAAAATTAAAAAGACATGAGGTATTTCATCACTGATGAAGTATTCTGCAAGGCAAGTGTAGTGAGAAATATTTCACACCCTGAATAACAAGCCCTCCAGCCAGAAGGAGCAACTAGGGCAGTAGATGCTGAACTACTTCACTAACTACACTAGATGCACCTTAGCTGGAGGACCATACGAGGCAGGGGAGTGTAGAGGAAATTGATGCACTGGATTATTTCCAACTCCTCCAGGCGAGAAACTTCCAGTCTGGACCATCTGAAACATAACAAAATCAATTGAAAGTGGCAAATGAGTATAAATATTTCACCTGATCCTATAACTCGGTTGGAAAATGAATACACGTTTTGCAAGCTGCAGAAGTATGAAGGTGTGTTTATGTTGTGAGGAAAAGTCATTAAAAATGTCACAATCAGAGATGCAATATAAGATAAACCTAACTTCCATTTACAGACATGATAAAACTTTAAAATATTCATAAACAAAAAAAAAGACTTACTATAGTTAAATACATAAATGCAGTGGAGAAAAAGCCACATTGTTTCCCTGTGATGTAGTAAAGTAGAAGTATAGAGAAACTTAAAATGGGAATGGTCACGTTAAGCTTTACTCAAAAATGTTCTAAACACCACTACACACTAAACATTTGAGTAAAAGCACTTAATTACTTTCCATCACTGAAAGGTCACATCGCAGTTTAATGAGACTGAAACACTGTGGGGAAATGTAAAAGTCTTCAAACTCTTATTGATAGTTTTTTCTTATTGACTCGCTGATTATAAATGCAACTACAAATCGATTTATCATACACACATCCAATATTGTGCCCGTTTTTTTTTTTTTTAATAGATTCTGCTAAGAGGTAAAACTTTTCAGCTTGTGGTCTATGTTTGTAAACTGTAAATCTCCACAGGTTTCAATGTGGAGATCGGCTACACTGAAAACACTGATTCACTGGCTGTCCATTCAAAGCACGCACGAGGAGGGAGTGTAAACTTAAAAGCTCCATTTGTGCTCCATCAGCATAAAAACTTCGTTTCAAATTTTAAAAATTAAAAATCTGAAATTATTTTTCCATCGACCATTTCCTTAAACACGAGTTTTACAGTGTAACTGGGGTATAAACAGCGTGCCTTGTGCAGCGTTTAACAAAGTGGCGCCAACAGCTTCATGTGATGTGATGTGATGATGAGCGCGTCAACTCCCGTCAATTAAAAAATGGATCTCAATAGCAACATCCGCCTTTATTCGGTTACGTAACAAACACAAACACCAGCAGCTGTAAGAGGTGGGTGGATGAGTCTGTAACTCTTTAAGGATTATTAAAAACAGCCTGGACGATGTGCCAATACATGTAACAAAGACTTCAGCAAATCAACTTTATGTAAACAAATCTACCGTGACCCGAAAAGTACAAAATACATCAAGTTGACTATTCCAGTTTTCTGAAAAAAGGCATTATATACTACATTAGTGCAGAACACATGTTGAACATGCTCCCAGCTTCCCTCTAAAGAAAGCAGTGCATTAAGGCGAAGTAACCAAAACCGAAACATTTTAACATTTTTCAGGTTTTAAAAACTTTCCAACAGAAACCTAACGTAACCCTAACAAACACACGCACGATAACGACCTCACGTTACGCACGTTGTTTTAGAATAAACAGGAAAGGCTGCAGACAGCCTACCATTGCATTATATTCACCTGCATGAATCCTACACACACACACACACACGCACACACACATAAATACATACATATACATATATATGTATATATATATATATATATATATATATATATACTTATATACACACACACAACTCTACAATATAGCTACGTACCTTACTCCGCAGATGTTGTATCCTCTGCAGTCTTCTTTGCCACCCTTTTGCACAAAAAGTTTTGTCATGCATGAAATTGTGAGAGCATCTTTTTTTTGTTGTTTTTCTCTTTGTGGGGGTGGGGAGAGGCGCGCAGTCGACGCAATCTTTGCGAATGTCGTCTTTAAATCCTCTCACAAACACGGTGTCCCTCGCATTCTGCCATCAAACCAGACCTTTCCTCTGCAGCGGCATCCCCTCAAAACTTTTCCTGCAAACTGGGAATTTACAGACTAACCTAGAATAGTTGTATTAAGCCTATCTCGCTCCTCCATTCAGCCCCGTGCTGGTCACAGAAACCCAGGAGGCTTGTGACCTGTAACCCCTGTAAACCCTGCCCCCACATAGCCTTCTGCTCTGTCTGCAGGAGCACGTCCCACCACCTTCCCGCCTCATATGCACACAAATACTTTATAGCATTGCTTTTGCAACAGTGAACTTTAAGGAGATCCTAACCAGCAACGTTGAGAGATGCAGAGGCTTTCCAGTGCATGGTGCATGGTGCCCCCCCATCAACTGTGGGAACGGGCTGCAGCGTTGCCTTAGTTGCCTTCTTTCCTGATTGAACTTTAACCTACTTTCCCATACTGCCTTTACTATGCTCCTGCGGGCTCTGATTGGTGGAGTTCAAGAGTAACAAAATTGCAGCTGCCTATTTTGACTTTATTCGTGTCCGCCAGTATGTTTGATCTCCTGAAGCATGCCACTGATAGAGGAGGGTTAATTATGGCCAGTAACATTTGGAGCTCATTTACAATATGAATGTAGTTCATGGAGGGAATAAAATTTCGTATTATGAATATAGCTCTCTCTCTCTCTCTCTCTCTCTCTCTATATATATATATTTTTTTTTTTTTTTCACAAACTGTAATTGGCCTCCACAAAGACAATAGCCTGCCAGCCTATTGAACAGGCCTCATGTTGGATACCTCCTGGTAGGATGGAATGTGTCCCAGTGTTTTGAACTGGGCTGACATTACTGCTTCACAGCCAGAGCTACAACTGGGAGGAAGGGTTGTTTTTAGCCATTTGAATGTGCACCACTGGATAAATACATTCTACAAGATGTAAACAGACCAACCTAGTTCAGAATCACTTGTTGGAGATGAAGTTACATTTTAATGCCCACAAGTTAAGCAAATACATTTTCATTCATTGTTAACACTATGGCTCACACAACATCGTTTCTAATCAGAAAAAAAGTAGGCAATATTGATCACACTATAAAACTGCCTATGGAGCCATCTAAAATGTTTATTGGACTTTCAACATTTTGCAGAGAAACTACAGGTTGTAGCAAGGCCACAACTGATGATTGTTTTTATCATATATCTTTCCCTCAAGTCTATAAAAGGTCAGAAATAATGAAAATGGCCCTCATAATTTCCCACAACCCTAAAATATTAATTAAGTAGCCCTCTAAGCTTTTATTAGAACTGTAACCCTTTCACAAAGGTCAAGAATGACCTTCTATTCTCAACAATAATTCAATTTACAATCATATAAAACAGATAAAAACAAGATGTTTATTTTTGCTTGCTAAATTACTTAGCATGATAAATTGATAATAAAAAAAATTGATCAACTAAAGTTTCAGCACGCTCCAGCATAGTTACACTAGATGAGCTTCCACTGTATTTTTATATTTCATCAAAAGCTGAAGGCTAACATACAGGAGACCTCAGTCAGTATTAAAAACGATTTGGTGAAACTGAACACAGAGGAGACCTTTTCTACTTCACCTCTCAAATCTGATGAACCCGAAGCAGGCACAGTCTTTTCTGAATTACTGAGTGAAAAGAAACAATTTTCTCAGAAACAAAGGTTCTATGTGGGCATTATCTGAGTTTATAAACTGGATTTTTTAGTTCAAGGTGTCTTAAAACAGAAATGATTCGCCAAAACACAAAATCAAAGTGGTGACGTATAATTTTCTGTACTAAATTAATCAGATGATTTAATCAGAAATAAATGTTATGAATTAAAGGTTTATCTGTACAGAGGCCACTGTCACTTTACTTCTTAAAAAGGCCCGAAGCCCTTGTCACTTATACTGAATAACTGGACCTATGATTAGAGTGATGTTTGGTAATTACATGAGGTTGTCAGCCTACATGCATCAGTGGCAATACTTAAGCTGTCAGTTGTCTCGGTCTAAGAGCTGCAACTAAACAAACAGAAGTCCAGGAGATGTCAATTAAGCACGGTCTATACACAGCTACACAGTAATGAGAAGAGGTGTATTCAGGTAGACCAGGTGAAACTGTGCAGGGCTTTTAAGGTACTGCTCAGAAAAAGCCATGGACAAGTTCTTCCTTTTGTAGTTGTGTGTGCTTAACTGTTGAAGCAACACAAGAATAAATTGCCATAAAGTTTTATTTTCATGAATGCTTTTCACAATTTTACCCTTTATAAAGTTATGTACACATAATTCGCTCCCATGGTAAATAAAGAGAATATCCAGAGTGTGGAAAAAAAGACAGGAAAAAAATATAAGGCAATAGAATAAAAAAAAAAGAAAGTAAAGCACAACAAATATTTAAAAGAGAGAACTCTAAATCGTGGAATATATAGTTTTGATCTTAAGGGATTTGTGTTGATGTCTACATAATATTGCCAGTGATTTATATATTCATAACTCGAGGTAGGGTTAGAGAAACACGAAATGCTTTGTTTACACACTAATACAAGGTGCCCATTGTTGTCAACGGCTCCCTCTGGTGGGATGTCTGTGTACAGCATGTCCTTCACACAGTGCATGTCATGATTGAACCCAAATCTCAAGCAAGTTTGAGTGCAGATCTACACACCAACACCATCTGAAAACATTCTGGGGTATTTCTGTTGAAAATCCTCATTAATTTTGTTAAACAAAAGTCTGATCATCTCGCATATTATTGCAGAAGTTAGCCTGTTTTGTAACTTCAGTTTATCAGCAAGGAGTTACAGAGTTGATCGCCATCGGGATATTTAAAGATACTCAAACACACTTTCATACAAACTTTCTTTCAGTAACTGGTGACATGACCATTCACTGTGTGCAGGACTTCAGTCTGTGTATTTAAGCATAAGGTACCACATTCACAGCAGATTTCTCAAATTATTTTATGGAACTTGAAAGGCCTGATATTGACTTTGTGACTATCTGGTGCAGTGTACCAAATAGTGATTAGCGCTTCTTTAAAAGCCAGTTAACCACAACAGAAAAAAGTTTCTGATCGTGGTCCAACTGATGTCTATGAAAAGTGTATTTACACTCCCAGGATCACATTTGAAGTGAGACACAGTTAAAGAAAAACCTTCACTGCACTAGATGTGGAAGTGAGAAATAAACTGGTAATGCATTTGGGACTTGAAATGTACATTTTTACCTTTTTTATATTCACTTTGGTTTAAAAACAATTTAAGAGGTCTGGAATTTTACATTATCATTATGATCCATTAAAATGTCTTTAAATAAGGCAACATTCATGACAAGGTGCAACACTGCAATTCATTATGAATTAACGTTTGTGTGGCACCACCCAATGAAATATTTAAGTTTAAAAATCTAGTTTTCCATTGTGAAAACCAGGTTGCAGTCCCTGTTCAAGTTTGAACATATATATATCTATATATCTATATAGATATATATATATATAAAATCAAGTTGAGGCATGCATACAAACCACTGTTGTGTATTTTAAAATGTCAAATAAAATATCTTGTCTAGGAAGGAAAGAAAAGAGAACGCAGCATTTGCAAACTCAAATCCCATGAGGTATGTACTAGAAGACTGTGCGCACAGACAACACATCTTGAAATCCCTAATATACCATTTTAGAGACAATGGCAGAAGTAAGGCAATTATATCAACACAAGTCTTTTTAAAAAGTATAACTAATCAGTGATGCATGTGAGGAACTCAGTGCTTGTCATCCAAAACACAGTCATTCTTGTTTTAACAGTGCATGTGGGTATTTTAACAATGGCATCTTTCTGATGCATCACAGTTATGTTACAGTGTATTACAATAAAACGTTTCATTATAATCAAATCAGAAAATTACACGACATTTAGAACCCTGTGTACATTTCAGCATCTGCCACCCTCTTACTTTTTTGTACTCTTTGGTGTTAAAGTAACTGACTGTATGGATGGGAGCAATGAGATTAAGGAGATCCGTTTTAGTTTTAGTTTCCCTTCGTTCTGCCCAATTCTCAAGGCCAGTGTAGCTCAATAAATGTCAAAGAAAATCAGTAAAATTAGTCAAGAAGCAATCCCAACCAAAGTTAGTATGAAGTCTCTTTGACGTGTCAACTTATCTTAAATACCATGCTCTGATTTGAACATAACAGATTTACAGTGCAACATACTTGTGATGCATCCTTGTGCAACGCTTCTGTGTAAACTGCGATATTATTTCTTGTGTTATGCAGTGCTTATACTGTAATGGAAAAATGGCTAAGATGGCATATATCAAGTACTTTAAAACCACATGAATTAATTATTTGTTAAATCATTGTTTCAAATGAATTATTGCTATCTGTGCTCAGCATGTGAGGATGAAGTGGAGTGCTCCAAGTGAGATCAATTTGTATATCCTAGCTGTCCATGTTAGCGGTGAATGGATGGCTGCTACCCTGCAGCATTATCTGATGCCGTGTTTCTATTTCAGTCATGTAAGCCTCAGTGAACTCAGCCTAAAAATCACAGCACAATAAATTGATTCCTCTATGGTTTTGATTTTCTCTTCCTGTGCCAGCTAATGCATCAGCAAGTTCAGCACTGCAGGATCATTTCAGACCTCTGTAACATCACACAATGCGACCAAAGGCCTAATAACTACACAATAATCCCCAAAAATGACTGTGTGCCGAGTCTGATCTGGCCAGTATGATCCACATGTCGCCCTGACAAAGCCGTATTTCTAAACATCATTTAAGTCCCTGTATAACACAACAGCTTACAATAAGGCAATAATCCAAACCTATGCAATTAGTTAGGCTAAGCAATGTTCAGAGAGAAGAGTTACTGTATATTTGAAACTGTTTACCATGAAGATACATTAGAAAAATAATATATTTACTTCTCAGCTTTTCAATCTCTAAAATATAGACAGGTTTCTGAAGGAAAAAAAAAAGACTTTTGAGACCACCTCAGAGCTCATGTTGGCTGTGAATGGGGAGAAGTTTCTGTCATTCTAAGGTCTGGTTCTGCCAGCGACAATGTAAGTGGAAAGGTAACAGTTTAAGGTCCAACATTACAAGAACATACTAAATGTTTTTCATTATCACTAAAGAGGAAACACTATGGTTTAAATAACAGTTCTTGGCCCACTGGATGGAAATCACCTCCATATCCACACTAAAAACAGAAAGTGAAGGAAGTAATCTTTACTTTTTTCCTATATTTTGTAGTTAATATTAAATTTTAATGAAGCGTGTCTTTTAGACTCTCATGTAGCCCTCTGCAGCTCCAGCCACTACCTCTAAACTCTACCACCTGATGGAGCACTCATCCCTGTGGCTTTTAAGCTTCCTCCGGTGCCGTGGGCCTCTTCAGGTCGCGGATCTGCTTAATCAGATAGTTCTTCTCATCACAGAACTGCTCGTCCTCAGATCTGTCTGTCTGGAAGTGGCTCAGGAAGTCCACGAGTTTGGTCTGGTTCTTCAGCAGTATGTCCAGCACGGGCTGAGTCTTGTTGGGGTTTGCAACAAATACCTTTAAAAGAAGAGAGAGATTATTTCATTATTTTATCTTAATCAGTCCATTCTTCTCTTAAAAACATTCAATATTTTACTAATTTAAGTCAGCACCATTCAGCTATTTTCTTCCAACAACTATATGTGGAATTTCACATCTTGAATAAACAACTTCAATTATTAAGCAGTGAATTATTGCACTGATTATGCATGTTTTACATGCAGACCTTGAAGACATGGAATGCTTCAAACTGGATATTTCGGCTGTTGTCTCTTAGCAAGTTCATCATCAGCTTCAGGTTCTCTGCCCGACTGATGTACTTCGTCATGACAGTGAAGTTGTGTCGATCTAGGAGGAGTTCCCCAAGGAGCTGAAAGACAGTACATGATTAAATAATGTCAGTTACACCTTAATCTGTAGCTCAAATCAAAGTTTGTCAATGGCTTTAATTTGACAGAGCAGCGGTGCTTTTACCTTCAAAGACTGTCGTTTGGTGACGTAATTGTCAGAATGCAGGAGCTTCTCGTACTCTGTGAACACCTGACAGACAATTTAAAAGCATGTTAGGCACTGCATGGGCATTCTTTCACTTAGAGATAAAAATGAAGAGGAGAAAACTCACTCTGTCATAATTGTTCTCCAGGAAATCCGCACACATAATCTTGTGTCTTGTAAGGAGATCCTGAAAGGAAACAGAAGAGCCCTGGGTATTAGATAAGAACTGTTGAGATACTGCAATTAGAAGGAAAGTATGTCAGCGTACCTTGAATGAGGCAAAAGCATCTGAAGCAATGTCAAAGGTTGAGAGCTCCACGTAGCGGAAGAAGCAGTAGAACTCTTCAGAGAAGAGCACCGTCCGTGCCAAAGGGTCGTGACGCAGACACTCCCTCAGCATCATTCCACAGTTCAGAGCCACTTCTGCACTCTCGTATCTGTATGGGTTAATACATGTCAAGTCATATATCATCAGACCAGTTATAAAACAGACCCTGTAGATGTAACACAAGTGAAAACTGGTAAAAAGGCCACCCTAAATACTTTTAACATTGGTAATCTGGCATTAAATGTATTTTTTGCACTGATTAATATTATTTAGATCTTATTTGCCATGGTGAGGTATTTTTACTATACCTGAAGATAGCTGGCTAAATGTAGACAATTCACCATGCAGCTACATGGGAGTTTATTACTAGAATGATCATCTAACACATCAGTATTAAATGTCAGGTTTTGATGTCTGTCTCTGACAACCAAACAGAATGTTCCTCTTTATATATATGTGACATTCGGGAATAAAGTTCAAAAACATTGCAGAAGAAATCCATCACAGAAGTTGCAATTTGCAAAGAGAGAATTTGATCCACTGACAGCAACCTAAACGGATCAAAATGCAGTGCAGCCATTAGACAAGGTTGCTTTTTGAGTAAGCGGGATGACTCAGTTTTTCAGAGCTGTAAAACCAGCACTCAACTATCACTCTCTTCATCTCCATGTGTAACCCACATGTGAATGCAACAAGTTCATGCTCGTTTCTCTGGGAGTTGTTGAAACACATACTGGGTAATGTAGAAAATCATGAGGCATGTTGAAGGAAAGTGATTTTACTGTAAAAGTAACTTAAAAAACAACAACAAAATAATTTGGGGGGCTTACTGATATTTACCAGTTAGGGGCCTCTACAGGTAGAGTTGATTTTAATATGTGTAAGTGGAAAAACAAAGCACTCATATCTAATATCAAAGTATCAAATACTGAGTTCCTGCTGTCTGAAAAGTTGAACTTACCCTTTCAGAAGCATGAAGAGAATCTGTGGGTGTGTAGAGATGTACTCTACCGTGGGTGTGCGAGTGCCAATCTGACGTCTCACAATATTGCTGAACAAATGAACCACATCCTTCTTCCCCTGTAACAAAAAGCACTCAGACAGATGAATGACTGACTGGGTAATGATGATATGCAAAGACATTTTTGCTTTGGGCAAAGATGTTCAAATCAGGCATACACACTCTCAGTGACTGTTTGGTGTCTGCACAAAGCAATCAATACTCTTTTTTCTTTTTTTTTACACACATAGTCATTGTGTAAAAAAGTATGTTTTTACCCACCTCAAAATCAATCCTCTGAAGGTTTGCAATAAGTGCAATGAGGAGGTTGGTGTTGTACAGCTCTTGTGCAAGCTGAGCCACTGCTTCAGTTTGAGGCTCCTTGTCACCTGTTCCACAAAGTACCTCCTTCAGTGAGGCCAGGTTTTTGGACACCTCCTCTGCAACCTTATTTGTGGAAAAACAGTTGATGACTCTGGCCATGAGTTGGTGTTAAGGATAAGATCCAAATTCCAAACATTAGACAGTCAGAAGAAAAACCATTGCTGACCTTTTCACACTTTTTACTGTCTCCAGCATCCAGTTTTTCCATGTATGCCACATTCTCCTTCAAACTTCTCACTATTTCAGCCGGACTCTTCTGAGACTTCCCGAAAGGAAAAGGCATGACTGAAGAAAGGTAATCCAAGCCCAAATCTCTAATGAAATAAAATCACGTTTCAACAAACTATCATGCAATTAAAGCAATTCAACTTCCTGTACCTCTGTGCATCAGGAAATGGCTGAAAGAGCTCTCACCTGAAGACAGCAAGGGTATAGCTAGGTTAGTTATACTGTCTAGCTGTAACTCGACACTCAAAAGTAAACTACTGAGTTACAGTATTAAAGACCATAACAACGCGCACAGCTAGCCAACGTTACATTAGTTAGTTAGCATTATAATGCGGGTACATTAGCGCTATAGTAACACTTCTATTGTATGTTCACACTGGTTTATTAGTTTCTCAACAAATGCCAACTTTTAAACCGAATCAAGAATGTCACGGACAATAAGACGTTAAAAATGTCAACGCTACAGCAATGTTCATCAGCAAACTTCAGCTAGCTTGTGACCTAGTTAGCAGTAGCGAGAAACAGGCAAACTAACGACAGCATGTAGACAGCAAGCACCATGGAAAACACACACACAGGACACTGCTGAAATATTCAGTTCAGGCTGTCAAGACTCACCCGAGTGAACTCTAGTTTTGAAGCTGAAGGAGGCTCGGTGGCTAAAGGTTAGCTAGCAGGCTAGCAAGTTATCCCCACTTTCTTTTTCCACTGTAACGTTACTTTGATATGTCTGTAACGTTATCTGAGATCTGGAGCTGTAGCTATCTAACGTGTGCTAATTGTGGCTACAAGTTGCTCAAACGGACGACCTTCATAGCTGGGATATTTCATGAAAATCTCTCTACTCGTGACCGACTGTCACCTAACTTGCTAGCTGCCTAGTTGTGGAGAGAGAGTCGCTGGGTTGGCCTGTCCGACCGTCTGACAACTTCATTTCCCTGTTCTTTACTGTTGAAACTCACATTCTCTCCTCATCCCGGGGACACTGGGCGGGTATGTTTTGCTCTACAAAATGACTGCCACTACTTTTAGCCAATCACTTTAGCCAATGCTAATTTTATGTGGTAACTCCCTCTCCGTTGTAGGTGCGCATGTTTAAATGGCTCATATTCCTCGTGTGGGAGGAGACATCAAAGACTACACGTAAAGCCCCTTCTTACGGACTGCCCTGTAACGGTAAGCAAGTGCACCTAAATTCTCACGAAAAGAAGAGGCAAAAAAATTTAGTTAAAAGGAATTTAGGCTTGAAATCAGTCCCTTTCATCCTATATAAGTGGAGTTTTGGTATTATTATCAAAGCAAAAAAGTTTTAGCATTAGTTTTATTAACAGTCTTTTCCTCATAAAGTCTTCAGCTTCATTATATTTTGGTATTTACAGTGAAGAAAGATTCACGGATGTCAAAAAAATACTCATAATCAAATATAAACTGCTTGTACATGTGTTTTAGTGAATATATTTGATGTAATCACACAGTATTTGACACTATTTAACATGGTTAGGGTTATATAACCATATAAATCATGCCTAACAAAAGAAACCATGGTGCTTCACAGTTTTCTATACTGTATCTGGAAAACATGTTCTGCCATGTCTTAAAAGCTGTAAAATTCTTCCAGACATTTCCCATAAATATTCAGTTCTGTTTCAATTTTGAGAGGGTATACATTTCCCCTAATCTAAACTCTGAACTTAAAAGACTGGCATCCTTTTTACTTTTGAGTATGGGATTAATGCATTACACTAGTGAATAATATAGTCAATATAAGTATTTACACTTGTAAATGTACTAAATCTCAAGGATCCACATTTTTCCACATTTTAGTTTTTCTGCTCTCATCTTTGAAGTGACTCATTATGTTATCTACTAAAAAACATTTCAGGTTGTCTCAGCAGGGTTTTTACCCAGTTTGGTTCCATTGTAGGGGTGTCACACCAAACTGTGCTTAACCATGTTCAACATTTTGTTTATGGTCCCTATGATTCCCATATGATGCCTGTGGCATTGCACCACCTTGCTCCCACCAACAGTGGATGACAGTCATTGCAGGTTGAAATCTCCTCTCAGCACTCTCCAAACAGACAGTAAACCGACCCAGATGTTGATAAAAAGATATATATGAAAAGCATCAAGATGGAGTGTGCTCACTACATCAACTGATGCATCTCTATGTGTTGGTATTTATAGAAATATTTTCTGAATGGCATGCCTGATAATAAATACTGTCCAGTTCTTTGGGATCCACACATAATGCATTGTTTGGGGTATTTACATGTAGCAACTAGAGCTCAGGTAGTTCCATTTTACAAAGGTCTAGCTCAGTACAGCACAGCCCAGTTCTATGCTCTTATCGGCCCAGTCCATGTTCAGACTAACTAACTAACCCTGGTTCAAACTTTGTTTTTAGACCCTCTGCATACTGTGCATGTACAAGGTCTCCTCTGCCATTAAGCACACATCACACAGTAAACAATATTGTATACCACATGATGACAGCTTTGAAGGAATAATTAAATAATTTTTTTAAGGAATAAAAAAAAATTGGGCCTTCAGAGACAGGGCCTCAAGATTATGTATTCATGTAGGCCTTGCATTAGTTGATATTGTACTTTGTTGGTGCAAATTTGTAACATTGCACAACTAATTTGTAGTGAACCAAATAATAAAAAACAAAAAGCAAGCTGACTGGTATGTGGATTTTATGGAAAACCAAATTAGCAACATTAGCATACTTTCATCTCCCATTTTAATGAAACTATGGCTTAACACAAGTGAAAAATAAGTCATATCTGCTTTTTGGATATCGATACTTCAAAATTAGTCATGTTCATGAGGTATTTTTGTAAAGCACTTTCGTTTCCTAAACACTCTGACCTCCTGTAGCTTTTCACGTTGGAAACATTACAACATGCTGTCGTCAACGAGACTTTTATTTTGAAAGTCGCACCCGGAATTCCCCCAGTCCTGGACATGGTAGCTAGCTTGATGCTAGTGTGAAAAGCACACGATCACTTCTGAAGGACGGAAAGAAACACTGTCGCTGCCCGGAACACTTTTCCATCTTTTCTATTGTCTCAGTGCGATAGGATTATATTACCAGGTAAGATGTGAGCTGTGTGTCCGCGGCTGGATGATAGCCGATGTATTTTATGGCCTATTGTGGTTTCAGGCCGTATTGCTGGCGTACAAGCTGAGCAGCTCTCTTTTCACAGGGATACATCACGTATGGCGCTCTTTACTTCGAAACGGTTTGCAAAGACCCGCGCCTGTCATGATAATTTCCCACATTTAAAGGGAAATATTCGCAGTTTTTCGGGTTCCAGCAGAAACATAATGTCGAAGTGTCACATTTTCCTACCGTCGACCTTTATTTCCCTGCATGAAAGGGCCTTGGGAGAGATTTCGGGGCGTTGAGATGTTCATAGTGAAAATTGTTTTTAGTTACAGCTACTTTGGAGGAGAAAGAGACACACACCCCCTTTAATTCAAAACTTTGTAGCATAAATTTGAGGCACTTTTATGTTTCGCTTGTTCTCGTCACAAATCAACCACAACATCGCCATGTGGTGCAAGTATATAAAACGAGAGCAATACAGTGAAGAGCAGAGGTTGAAATAAAGGATATTTGGTGTTATTTACATGGAGAGTATTGTGTGTTTGCACGCTGGCTCCGCTGCTGGAGCCGCCGCAGTGAAAGCCTGGCCCTGCTATCATGGCTGTAATGGCTCTATCAAGGCGTCGCAGCACACTGCTATTGTGATTTTTTTTTAAACACCCACTTTCGTTTGTGGACTATCAAGGATTGAGTAGATATTTTTTAATGCTCATATTTAATGTATTTGCGCCGCTCGCAGCATATTATGGACAACATCAGACCATCTATGTGAATGTCAGCACACATTTGAAGGGTTGATCTACTCCTCTACTCTAAAGAATACAATGATGGGTTTGCAACCAGTCTTATTTGATGTTTAAGAAAAATGCTGATTAATAAACATCTTAATGGTTTAATTAAAAGGCAACTGAAAATGATACAACAATACTAATGATCAAATCACCCCAGTTTCTGCTAATTTGTGTGTCTTCACTGCTTCTCACAACAGAGAGTACAGACTAAAATGGAATAATATGTTTTTATCTAGAGAAGTTGGGGCAGACAAATGTAGTGAATATGGGGGGTTGTCTGTAATTAAAAGTAGCCCCTGTGTGTAAGGTAAAGGGGTTGCATCAGATGTGGTCCTCCAGCTTCAGAGTCCTGCTTCTGCTGATTTCCCTTTCTGTTCCTTTTTAATCTGATTTAGTCCTGGGATGACTGGTGAATGTTGCTAATTGCAGGCCTGTGTTGTGCTGATATTGTCTTCAGCCATGCTACTTTTGACTACCCTCCAAAATCAAGATCTCCCCCGATGCTGGCATTGGTCAGCAATTTTTAGATTCTGTTCAATACACTTATTCTGTGGTTTTTAGTATTTATACCGCAGGCAATTAGAAACTCTCTATAATTCAGATATGATTCAATTTACAAGGATCAGAAGTTGAAAAAGTGTGAAGCTGCAGACCTGCAACAAATGTGTGGGCCCCATGTGTGATCCATCAGAAACACATTGAGAGTGTTTTTAGGACACAGGGCTCTTCTTTAGTGAGTTTCACTGTTTGATATGAGCTGTGATTATTTTGTTACGCTGTTTTGATGATGTAGTCCAGGACTTATAAAGACATTGTTATTTGATGATTGAGTGGGAAATTGTTCTTCTAACTGCTTTGAAAACCACCTCTATTTAAAAGGGTTTGGCAGTCATTGTAATTCAAAGTTATCTTGTCATGCTGTGTTTTGTTTTTTTCATTAGACTCTAGAAGAATAAAGAAGCCTTTGGCCATGTCAGGACAGAGGAAAGGAGCTGCAGCGCGGCTGCCTAAATGTGCCTTCTGCAGAACCAACCGGGACAAGGAGTGCGGCCAGCTGCTGGTGTCTGACAGCCAGAAGGTGGCAGCCCACCATAAGTGCATGGTGAGGGGAGCACATTAGTTCTCAACCTGTATAGCCTGTAATCCTTCAAGCCAAAGTCATGCACACTTGCAACCCCTCACATATGCAGAATAGTGAAATACATGGTTCATCTCCCATAAAAAATAAAAATGACAAATGTAAGATTTTCTTATAAGTATATCACAGTGGAAATCGGCTCTGATGACACGATCTGATGCTGCTGAAACGTGTCAAATGAATGTTAATCTTCAGTTTGGTGGTAAATGATGCACCAGAAGTGGTAAAGGCAAATGTTATAGCATTATTGTTAGAATTTATTTGACAGAGTGTGTATTAGAAAAGGCCGTAAAAACCATTTAATGCTTATTTTCATATTTTTCATATGTAGCTGTTCTCCTCTGCCCTGGTCACATCTCACTCAGACAGCGAGAACATTGGAGGATTTTCCATTGAGGATGTGAAAAAGGAGATCAAGAGGGGAAATAAATTGGTAAGTACGCACTGGTCTTCTTAGTGTAGCACTAATGAATGGAGGAGAAGCAGTGTCACTGCATGAGGCCACAGAGTAGAGCTTTTGTCATGTTGAAATTATACATCATAAACAGCTCATTAAAATGAAATAAAGCATATTCATGTACATATTTGTACATGTACATATTTAAATGCCTATTACTTTTTGATCTAAATATGTTGGTGTTGAGGCCGACACTACAGCACACCCAGTCACTGTGCATATCTGAGAATATGCATTAGCTGCTTTATTTAACTAATGATGAGGATGCACGCATGTTTTCCTGAGCTAAGTGTATACGTATGTCTTCAATGTAAAGTTCCTTCAGTGTTTATACCTGAGGCATGTGTGTTCATTCTCCTGTCTTTGTGTTCAAGGTGTACATGTGTGCATGTTTATGAATGGCTGTGTAAGTTTCTCACAGAGACTGATACCAGCTGATAGCAGTGCATCAGATCCCTCTCAT